AATGCGCACCTGCGCGCGCAAGAGAGGCGGCTCGGAGCGAGGGGACGGATTGGGCAGAGGGCCAGGCGGCGGCTCCGCTCGTGCGCCTTCTCCTCAAAGCCACCCGACGAGGAGCCGCCGCCGCCGGCCTCCTCCTTGTGGTCCTTCATCATCTCCTCGTCCTCCTCCTTCTCGGTCTTGCGCTTCCGGTGCCGCGCCTTGGCCGACGCGTCCGCCTCCTTGGCAAGGCCAAAGTGCTTGAACAGGTCCGACTGCCCGAGCAGGAAGTTGAGCCGCTGCTTGGCCGACTTGGCCTAAGTCGACAAGGCGCGCACAGCATGAGAAAGACCGGGTGACGTGTTGCGGGTGACGTGTGCGCCCGCTCCGCGCGGCGCAGGCCTTGTCGCTCTCAATCTCCTTGTTCTGCGCGACGAGCGTCTGCTCGGCCTGGGTGAGCACCTTGGCCTTGCGCTCTTTCTTAGGCGCCGCCGCCCGCTCCTCCACCTCCTCCTGCAGCCGCTGCCGCTTCTCCGCGCGCTCCAGCTCGCGGTCTGACGGGCCAGACGCCGCAGAGGCGATCCGCGCCTTTTCGGCAGCATCCTCGGCGTTGAGCCCCGCCTGGTAGGTGGCCATCTCGCGGTCGTGGCGCACGCGGTCGTCGGCCGCCTGCCTCTCCCACCGCGACCGGTCCGTCACCTCCCCCCACCGCTCGCCGATCACTTTGGAGAGGGTCGAAGTGTCTGTAGCGCCGACCTCCTGCGAGATGGCGTCGCGGTTCTCGCGCGCGAAGCACATGTAGGCGGAGAGCGCCTGCGGCGACAGGCGCGCGTCAGCGCCGCGGCCGGCTCACGCGAGCGGCGGGGCGAGCTCTCAGCCGCACACCGCTTTCGGCTTTGCCAGCGCCAGCACGTCCGCCTCGCCGACCTCAAACTCCAGCGCGATGGTCTTTGCGCTCTGCTTGTCAGCGAGCATGCCGCGGATGCGCTGCTTCTCGGCGTAGGAAAGCGTCATGGCGGCGGCGGAGGAGAAGGGGAGAGGGTCCAGTCAGCAGGCTGGCAGAAGACCGCTGATGCTTTGCTCGCGCCAAGCCCGAAAAGCCGCCCGTGTTTTTCTTCTTTCTCGTCTCGTACTTCCCCCCACAGGCCACGCCACGGCAGAAGACACCTCTTGACCGCTGCCAGGCAGGCAGCCCAACACAGTCCAACACACTACCAAGTATTCTTAGCTTCAAGCCCCCCTCCGAGACTGGAGACACCCACACACCAGTAACAGACCGGTGGGACTGCCCCCCGCCCCCACTTACTTGCCCTGACTGCACAGGATAGCGGGCTCCGAAGACGGCGACGACACAGCGGGGGACACCACACGCGAGGAAAGGGTGCGAAGGCAAGATTGGGGTGCTGGGTGGTGGGACCAATGAGGGGGGGGGGGCGGGGGTCCTGGGGGGGGGCGAAATGAACACAGTCCAACACAGGGGAGGGACTTTCAAGGTTCAATCTTACAACAAAACTCGCACGACACTCGGCACAAAACACAACCAGACGAGTTGACATGTGGGCTTTGCCTGCGCTCGGCACCGGGCACCGCCTCGGTATACAAAATGTGCGCCTGCGGGCGGACCCTCACAGCTCACAGCTCACAAGAGCTGGCGGGAATTATTGAGTCGAGCAAGCAGGGGTGGGCACCGCAACACGCATATCATGCCCGCGCCACGGATCGTGCGCGGCTGCGGCCTGCGGGGTGCGGAGGCTCCAGGCTGTCGACGCGAAGAGCTTTTTACTTACTACAAGTCAACTGTCGAGACGTAGAATAAATGAACACTCCAATATACGCGTACGCGCCGGCGCGGCAACCAGCAACCCAACCCGTGTACCGCAATAACTATCAACAACCGCGCCAGCCTCAACTGCGCCGCCCCTCACGCCGCCGCCGCCGCTGCGCCGCCAAAGGTCTGGTGCACAATCTCGCGCGTGCCGTGCATCTTGCCCATTCCCTCCTGCGTCGCGTGGCCGTGCGAGCCCAGGTTGATCTGTGAGATGCCGTCCGTGCCGAGCCCGCCGATGCCCTTCACGTGGTCGACCTTGCCGATGTTGCGGCTGGTGTCGAAGGTGCCCGCCTGCGAGGCGTGCCCGTGCGAGCCCATGCCGACCGCAGTCGTGGTGCCGTCGCCACCGAGGCCGCCGATGCCCTTCACGTGGTCGACCTTGCCGATGTTGCGGCTGGTGTCGAAGGTGCCCGCCTGCGAGGCGTGCCCGTGCGAGCCCATGCCGACCGCCGTCACGCTGGCGTCGGTCCCCAGGCCGTCGATGCCGTGGACCTTGTCCATCTTGCCGATGTTGCGGCTGGTATCGACGGTGCCGGCCTGCGAGGCGTGCCCGTGCGAGCCCTTGCCGAGGAAGGTCTGCTCCGCCCGGCCCTTGCGTAGCGTCTCCTCGTCAAAGTGCCGCACCGACTTGTCCGCAAGCTTTGCCCCGAGGGTCGGGCCGCCGTAGCCGGGCACCTTGCCGCTGACGCGGCCGAGCGAGTGAATGTTTGTGATGACGGCCATCATGTCCTGATTCTCGTAGAGCGAGACCGTCTGGAAGAGGTCGTGCTTCGGGACGCCCAGCGCGCTGCACGCCTCGAGGTACTTGGCAATGTTCTCCATCTGCTGGAACGCCATCTTCATCGCCGACGGCTTCTTGCAGACGCCCGGCTTGAGCGCGTTGACGAGGGCGCAGAGGACGACGCCCGACTTGAGCGCCTCCTGGAGCGTGCCCTCGAGCGCCTCGCCCGTCACCGCCTCGATCCACTCCCGCGCCTCGCGCTCCATCTTCGGGTCAAACTTGGCCGCCGCCTTGTCGGCGAGCTCTTTGTCCATGCCGTAGAGCGGGATGCCGTCGTCGCGCTTCGCGGCGCCGTCGTAGCCGGCGTGCACCGCGTTGCTGACCGGCTTGGTGGACACGCGCGTCGACATGAAGTGGTGGTCCGTCATTGTTGGTTGTCTGAAAGGTTCGGGTCTCCGCTTGGGACGTGCGAGTTTGAGCTTCCTTGCACTCGGCCGCCTTGATCACGTCGACTCCGTCCCAAGCATCGGCCAGGATCTCGGCTCCGCGGCTATGGCGGTCGTGACACATATATCATGGGTTGGGCTTTTAGGCATTGATTGTAGGGTTGCGGTTGGCACTCCCATCGACCATGCATGGCCTCCTGCGCGCGGTAGTCTCTCTCTGGTGTTGCCACCAACCAGACAGAAAGTCACTAAATCACTCAAAGGCTGGGTAAGCAACAGACGTCGAGACTTGACGCTTCCCACATGGTTTGTGTCGCTGCCGGCACGCTGGTCGACAAGGGCCATGAATGAGCATGACCGCGATACCTCGGTGTGGCAGTGCCCAACCCCCGCTCTGTGCTTGTCAGCGAGCATGCCGCGGATGCGCTGCTTCTCGGCGTAGGAAAGCGTCATGGCGGCGGCGGAGGAGAAGGGGAGAGGGTCCAGTCAGCAGGCTGGCAGAAGACCGCTGATGCTTTGCTCGCGCCAAGCCCGAAAAGCCGCCCGTGTTTTTCTTCTTTCTCGTCTCGTACTTCCCCCCACAGGCCACGCCACGGCAGAAGACACCTCTTGACCGCTGCCAGGCAGGCAGCCCAACACAGTCCAACACACTACCAAGTATTCTTAGCTTCAAGCCCCCCTCCGAGACTGGAGACACCCACACACCAGTAACAGACCGGTGGGATTGCCCCCCGCCCCCACTTACTTGCCCTGCACAGGATAGCGTGCTCCGAAGACGGCGACGACACAGCGGGGGACACCACACGCGAGGAAAGGGTGCGAAGGCAAGATTGGGGTGCTGGGTGGTGGGACCAA